GGGGGTCCTGAGTCAGATCAGGAGACCAGATGGACTTCAGCAGGTCCTGAATGCTGACAGAACAAATCCAGCAGAGAAAAATCTGTTGGACTGATGAGGAAAATGACACCGACAGTGAGAACTTTTACTCCACCCAGCAAAGTTGACGTTAAAAAATGTTACAATTAACACAAATTAAAAATAACATTTGACATTTTGTGAAATTTACAACAAAACTGGAGCTAAACAGTCTTTCCAAAGGTTTAACTTTTCGCACGTTCATTTAATGTCTTTACAGAATGATTGACARGCATCTGGCCGCGCMCCCTTCGTTTGCTGCTCGTTGGGGTTCGTTTAGTTCAGTCCAGGGTCAGCTCCAGCCRATGAGGGTGGACGGGCAATGACGCGGGCGTGGTTTGGTGTACACTGCACTATGGTGAGTAAGATTAAACATAAACGAGGTGGATTATTTAATCTGTCACCCGTTTTCTTTCAAGTCTTTGGAGGAAAAACTGAACACGGAGAGGTCGAACAAGGGATGCTGAAATCCAGTGAAAGGATTGGCTAACTGCAAGCGTAGCTAACAAATTTACTTCCTGCTTTCTGGGTTTGCTGTTTTAGATTCTTCTTTTGTTGGAATCCAATCTGAAGYATTTTATTATGTCTATATGTTAGTCCACCCTACAAATATCACCACTGCATGAAAAAAATCTAAACTGTTTCAAAGGGTAAAGAAGAGCCAAGCATCATCAGCAAAAACAACCAATGAAACAAACAGCCTGACGTCGCTGCTCGCGGCTTGTATGAGAAAACATGTTGTGGTTTTGCATGTCAAATAAACACGCCGTGAAAATGAAATAAAAAAGAATTACATCTGTTGGAACACAGATATCTGAGCCCCTCTCAGGGGTGAAATCAACACCACCTTACCCGTCGTGCTACACATAATTATTAAAATACATGCTCTGTTCAACTTTTTATTATTTTTGACAAAAACAGAACCTGTTATTCAGTTTGATGCATGTTAGACATGTCATATTTAACTTTAAAGTGCAGAAGCCCACAGGGAGTTAAAAACATTTTAAAGTTTACTTAAAGGGAAACATATGAACTGTGTTTGATTCATGGTATTTATTGTGKTAACGTTGTTTCTCCTTCTATAACTCGTCAGTGTGGGTTTATGTGGGAAATGTTTTCCTTTTTAAGAGCAAATTTCTGTCAATATATGTGATCCATCACATCAAAACAAGGATTAAGTCAAATTTGGTCAAAATGACTTAATCACATTTTCTGATTCCTGCTTTAAAAGCTACATTTTGATACTTAGATCATTCTGATATCATAAGTGGATCCAGAGATATGACTTAATTGGTCTTGGTGGTTATGAAAACACATAAATATTTGGTATGAATCCATTTTATGTAATTTTAATGATTTTTTATGTCATTTTAAAGAAGAAACTTCAAATAGTATTTGAATATTGAGATTTCTTAAATATAAATAAACAAAAGCTTTGATATCTCACAGGGAAAATCTAAAAATTTTAAGGTGTTTTTCCTCAAAATCTGGATTTTTGTTGATACTGCTCAAAAAAGGGCTTTAAAAATGTTTTTAGGATTATATTTCAGACAGTTCATTCAAAATGATACATTGATACAATTAATTGTTATATTTTGACAAAATGCAAATTTTGCAAATGTTTTAATCAAAACACTACATCTGCCCATTTCTCCACATTCCACTTTTAGACTTAATCCTCGTTTCGATATGATGGGTCACATATATTAAAGAAATGTAAAATGATAAATTATTCTTATACAACCTTTTCCAAATGATGTTTAATGCAGTATTTATATCATACATGATCTTAACAAATAAAAAAATGACATCATTAGCATTCATTTCTTATGCCGTACACTTTATCATTAACTTCGTCTTTTAATATAACTCAAGCATAAAGCTCATCAGAGTCCATCAAATCAGGTAAAACAAGAAAACCCTCACTAAATATACATTTATTTGACTTTAAAATGAGAAAATAACACGATTAAAGTGTTTATTTTTCTGTACCAAACGTCAAAGATTATTGAAAAGTTCAAACCAAATTTTCTTGATTTGAAAGTTTGTCATGAGAAGAATGAACTGAATGAAGCGACAAAAAGAGAAACCATWCTTATATTTGGGGCTGGGTAAAACAGTAACGATGGCTTTGAGTTTGACACATGTGCCTTAAAGATTAAAATATTGCATTTTTTCATCATGTTTTCTGTTTAAACATGTCTGTTCCACGTACCTGCTCCTGYCGCTCCAGCCAGCGGTCCACCATGGGGTGATTGGCGCTGAGGGATGACCTGGCCGTCTCTCGTTGGAACTCCCTCTGATTGGTCCACGTCCCGGCGTCCCGCGGYAAGCTGCGGTACGTGTCCATGCCTTTACTCTGCGGGGGGCGTAAACCGTATTTAGGAAAATATCTTCTACTGTTAGTCTTTCTTTAAATCAACTTTAATGTCCACCGTTAAAACCAGARCATAAAACGTTTAATTTTGATGTTTACCTTCCTCTCCAGGCTGTTCGTGCCGGAGGAGTGGCGAACCTTCAGGAAGCCRGCGGTGGTGGACCATCGGGTCGGGTTCTTCCTGGTTGGCGTCTCTTCTGCTTGGATCCGAGACTCGACGCTGCCGAACGGCCCGTTGATGGTGATGAGGGCGGGGTCGCTGCTGCGCCGGACGTGGAGGGGCATATCTGAGGATTTCAAAATGAAAACTTGACTATTAAAAGATCTTAGAGAAACACAAAAACAGCCTCGCTTTCTCTTTGAACAAACACCCACCTCTGTTAGTGATAAGACTCGAGACAGAAATTTATTACATTCATGGATGATTGATGTAAATTCGTTGGAACAAATGATATTCCTCAAACAACGTGGAGAAATAAAGTGAATTAATCACTRAGATTCCATTATCATCCTATAGTGAATGAATCTGATTTATCACTGAAGTCTAATCAGGAGGTTCCAGTTTCTGCTTTCCTGGCAAAGCAGCAGGCAGAGCGGGAACAGCACCAGCCTTCCATTAAAACTCTTCACTCTGTTTAAAAGTTGCACGGCGTGGGCGGGAGGCCAAGGGTCCGAATGATAATTACTCCCAACAAAAGGACAGCACACAAAAACAAAGTGCTGTGACTGTAAAAACCTGCCGCATGTCAGATTTCGCTGAAAAAAAAAAGTACTTAAAAAGTTAGACGGTCACGCAGGAGGCTGAGTGTTGTGTTCTAATGTTCTGTTTTAAAGAGCACGCCGTGTGCTCACACAGGAAACACTCAGCTGTGCTGTGGGTCAACAGATTTCTGCCTGTGTGATAAACTTTTATGATAAACTCTGCTGGACAATAAACTGTCTTAGAAATTATCGCGATAAATGATATCGTTTGGAGACCCATGGTTCTTTTCTATTAGCTACTATTCATGGAACCAGACCCTTTTTCAGAACAAACTTCTGTGGTTCCAAGTGTACCGTACTGGACTGAAATTGTATTTTTTTTCCCGTTGTTTAACCAGGAAAATCCCATTGAGGTCACAAATGAAGGCAACCTACTGTAAGAGTTTTTGAGGTGTGGGGGAAACCGGAATACCCGAAGAAAACCCACTCAACCATGAGGAGAACATGGTAACTCCGCACCGAAAGCCCTCAGGTCCTCCTTAGCTGACTGCACTGTATGCAGAGTAGTTTTTTTGAGCATATATTTGTGTATTTTCTGTATAAAACACAGGATCAAAGCTCTTTTTTTAACTCACCCTTCCTATGTGTGTGTATTCTACAGTGCAAAGGTAGCGCACTACGTTGCGAAAGACACTGGACATTCGTTCCCCCATGTTTTTCGTGTGTGTGTTTCTCCGGACGGATGTGCTAAACGACAAATTTCATTCTGCACTGTATCTTGATGTGTGTGAA